CCATTAAAAAAGCAATTATTCCTCCCATAAAATTGCTCCTGAACAGGTGGTGCGTACGTGCATTCCGGTGAAGAATGGTAAAAAACCACGATTGCACATGAACAGATAACCCTCAATTAAAAGTTTTTGTTTTAATGGAACCCAGTTTCTAATTGTTTCTCCTAATTGTTACTCCTAATACTGACAGACAAACAACTTACCATTATCATATCATTTTTCACACTTTCACATCGGTTTTAGTCATTTTGATTAACGCTTTTCATATAGATGTCCAGTTCACACACATTTTACCCTGCTTATTCCTATCCAATTATCGTGACCGCGTAGCTTGTTGTCAACCAAACATTTTGCACACACACACACACACACATGCACACACACACATTCATTCATTCAATATCAGCTTCGGCCTCGTACTAATCAAGCTATAAATGTAAATGATTAGAGCGATATGCCAAAAGGAAACTCCTTCACGTTCCCACTTACTTCACAGAACATGAATTAAAATGTTTGACTAGGGAAATTGTAAATGTCATTTTTTTCATCTCAGTTAGTTCAATTTTTGAGTGATAATGTTGAGACCCTCAAAAATAAAAAAATAGCAGTATGGGTCTGGTCTATCTATATAGTAGTAAATGAATACTTTGCGGGTTTGAACATAGTTAATTCCCTCTAAAAAAGTGAATGTAGACAACCTGCTTCAATGATGAAAAACGTCTAAGATGCAAAGATTAATAAAATACAACAAATGTAGTGAGATTAAGTCAATATAACTGGACCGGTGACATTGTGCATAACAAACAGTAGTATAAAATTCATTCTCAATTGTGCTTGAAACAGAAACCTTAATTGCGGAATGATATATTAGACCGACTTTTTGTGCTCCAGGATAATATTAATGTCTGCAGTTTTCCAGTTCAGTATTTGACCCATTCAATGACATTCGTCTTTAGTTGGTCGCAACGCGAGTCAATAACAACTTGATTTAAAGAGGATGACTGTCTAAAATGAGGATTGAGGTGATGTGAAACGGATCAGTTAGGCTTGAATGATTTAGGCACAACCATGACAGATTATCAAGATGTTTTCATTGCATCTGTGGTCCGCTCATAGTACGTGGTGAGTGGAAAACACTAAAGAAATCTGAAACAGACAACAGTGACAGAATGTTTAGATCTGATCTAACTAAATTGCACCGGTTCTCATGTGTGAGTGGGTGTCTTTATCCCACAGCTCCCGCCTACCAGCTATGCGGAACCCCGTCCCCCTCGATTTTCCGATTTGATGTTGAATCCCGATGGGACGAGGATAGCGATCGGTCAATAGTTTCTCCGATAAGCAAAAGGGTGTGTGGAGAAATTTGTCTAAGCTTTCCATTTGTTCCCTATGGTTTCCACAACCCTGAATGAAAATCAGATACGAAACGTCAAGATGTCATTAGTTAGTGTTGAGGCACTTTTATTGATATTTGTATTACACAGTTCAAATTCGTCTTCACCGCTACGCCTAGTGTTACACCTCGAACTAATGTAATCCGATTGGTCGAACTTTGAGTGCAGAATGGTAAATTGGAGGTAAAAAGCAGAGCACGACGAAATGTGTTTGTTGGTTGCAGACTGATAATTCTTTACCCCAACGTGGGTTTTCATGTATCTCGATTACCTCCAAGCAAACTTTTTTGAATGGGTATAACCAAGTTGCACCAATTGAACTTATTACTGTATCAGCAGCAGCAGCAGACTTCTCGAAGAGCTCTTGATCGATATATCGACCGTCCGATTAGAAAACATACACAGCTCAAACAATGGTGATGTCTATCATGTTAATTAAGCATTTTTTTCTAGTTTGTGGTTTGCTGAGTTTTTTCCATGGCTTATTCTTCGAATATAGGAAGCGGCCATTTTGGCCTAAAATCCACTAACTCTTCACTTATTCCCCCCATTCAACTAGAATTTGAACAGTTTTTCAACTGAAATTTCGGATAATATCGAGGTGCAACATCGATGAAAATAGGTGTGAACTAGGACGCCAGTGTGCAAGGACGTCGAAGGATTAAGATGGTTGGGTAATGTGAAGTTGAACGCTACCCAGGAAGCTAAAATCTCAGTCTATCCGGTGGTTTCTCTAGAAAGCATTTAAGGGAATTATCGATGGAAGGGAAGGCAGGCAACTGTTTTAGCGAAAGAGCACATAACACATTCGGCTACATCTAACACGGCGGTGGACAAGTGGTTAGGTCACCAACTTGTGACCTGTGAGTTCCGGGTTCGAATCGCTTCACCGCTGCCAGTCTTCCCAGGCAGTCTTCGTATGGCCGAAGCCCCCCCCCTTCCTGAGTAATGACTGTATACCTGTTTATTGAATAAATAAAAAAGAAGTAAAAAAGTTATTATTTATTTATTTGTTCACGCGATGTTCCCAGAACTACCGAACTGGCCAATAACAATCACAATTACTGCACGATTGACGGGCACTTTCTTTTTCAAATTGTTGTTTGGCAGATTTGAAGTTTGTATGTCGATTGTGAAAAGTTCAGTAGCCTCGGTGGGATTCGTACCCAATCAATCGACATACAAACTTCAAATCTGCCAAACGACAATCTGAACAATCAACCGTGTCTTAGAAGCTCTGTAAGTTGGATGGGTAAATTCGAATGTGAAAAGATCAGCACTACCGGTGTGGCCTCGTAGCTCAGCTGGTAGAGCGTGCGCTGTACAAAAGCCTAGGTGGCGTCCATGCGTGGGTTCGAATCCCACCGAGGCTACTGAACCCTTCACAATCGACATACAAACTTTCTTTTTCTTTGTAAATTGCACAGAAAACCTTGTAGGGAATCCTCACTGGGTTGTATATGTTTTGGTCATGTCACAGATAAATTGCATCAAATGTGGGGCGTTTGTAGGAAGCCTAAAGAATGAAAGACATACAACAATGCAGTAAATTAGTACTTTCGCCTGCATGGTTGAATCGATGAACTGAGGATTGTGCGCGAAGATGAAGTCCTAAGGATAGTTAGTTCAAATCAATCAATGTCAATTATCTCACACCATTACTCACCAGTAACTATGAGTTAAACGTGAATACAAAATCACATCCAACAATTTGGGTTGCTGTGACTTCAACAGAATAACTTGCGAAAAATGGCCACTCATTTAGGCATGTGTTGAAATCGTCGATCTTTATTCGTATTTGTAAAATATAGGGGTTTGAACTATCAAATCATGAGGGTTGGAATTCAGGTTTCAATAGGTATACGAAAATACAACGTAAAGTTAATGAGTGTTAGAAAGTAGCGGTAGTTATCCAGTGCTTACCGTTGCAGCCCAGCACACACGTCACACCTATAGGTTATCCATTCTCCCCAATTGCTCATTTGTTGGACAAGTGGGACAAAACTATCATGTGAATCGTCATTTTTCAGTTTATCTTTTTTTTATTTCACCAATAAAGTCAATCCTTGACTATTCTTCCCTGTTCTACTCAGTAGTGACTAAAGAGAGGGAAGAATTGAACGGTCTGGAAGCTCATCTGTTTAGTGGGTAATCACTCCTGAGAAGTGCAGATGATTATAGAAGGAAAGAGTAGTCTCCGACATTGCGACCAGTTTGAGGTGTTAAACTGGAAGCGTGCAACTCGATCAAACATTCATTTCACCATTCGCGTGCAGGGAGAACATCGGATAACTGGGATTGGATGTCAGCACATCTGAATGGTGATTGACAGAGTGACTGGTCTAGACTAGAAGCTCACCACGGTGTACAGTGTAATGAACTAACGACTCTGGACCGGGGGATTTCTTCCTTCTGAGCCATTCTGTACCTCATTCAACACGGGGATCATGATGACCGACAAAAGGCGACAGTTTAAAAAACATACAAAGAAATCTGTGAACGAAATAGTAAGCTAAGGCGAGTGTTCGTTGAACAAGACCATTCAAATTGACGCAACCTCTGCAATACTTCTCTCACGTACGTTTACCGGGGGACAGTTCAGCTCTTCTTCACTCTGGAAATTATAGTTTCTTTATGTCTGCCCCGATTCATCACGTGACGGATGTCTGTCAGACTTTACTCGAAACGGTCCGAAATTGTCAGAATGACAATATGTCTGTCGAATTTGATTTAACTGTTTCGCAACCGACCTTGTGCGAGGGGACAATTCATCGACCCATGATGAATGGAAAGAGACCAATGACAATTAGAAAACTGGTGCATTATCCGACGTCAGTTTATCAAGCCTTGCCATGTATTTGAGAAGCAACTTTCAAAGGACCGTGCAGTCCCCTTATCAAGCATGAACGATAGTGATACTGCCCGAAAACCAGTTATTCAAATGTGAGACCGTTTCTGCGATGCGTGGTTAGCTCTTGAAAAATTCCATTTCCCCATCTATTTGGATTCAAAAGAGAAGGCTGCAATCGACTTGGGCAATGTAACTCAAAGTACATCCGGTGATACCAAAAGTAATCAGATGGTAGGAAAATATTGATGAAACATAAAATCGATTTGTCTAAAGCAATAGATTACTGATGCTGGCAAACACCAGTATCGTGGTCAGATAGGTTCGGGTATGTATTTTATGAATAGTAATTCACATTTAACTCACAGTTGCATGTTGTTAGTGATGTGAATTAATTAATATTGATTAATTAGAACTGACTATCTTTCAAACTTCATACCTTCACGCACAATCCTCAGCTCTTTCAGTTAACCATACATTCGAACGTACTAGGCTCGAGTTTCTCTCCCAATAGAGCTTACAAGTAACGCATATACACTTCCCCATGTGGGATTGGTACGCCGGCCCTACTGAGTGGAATGTGTGTGTGTTACCACTGTGCCAACCAGCTCATGCAAAAATATGGGAGACCGGAATAGGTGAAAGAAGTTCGACTGAAGATAACAGATGGTCAACTGTGTCTCTCTTCGTTGCTGTTGGGTCACAAATGAGCGGAATGACTATCCCTGAAGAAGGCACGTGAACAAACATGAATAGGCAATTTAGTTCAGCCCTAGTATTTTATGAGAAGTTTCATGACATGGGACCATACGTCGTTCTAACTTTTGGGGGCACAAAACGGTATGATGCAATTTGATCCATAGAGCCTCGCCGATTGTCAACATTTTTGCATTTCGGCTACGCAATAACTGTTTGAAAGAGGAAGCGGGATCCACTGTATGTTTGGTTTGATTGACGTGTTTTGCCACGGGTGACTGAGGGATCCTTGACTAACGTATGGGGGTTGCGTCTCCAATTTTACCAACCCCTTTAGAATTTACTTGGCCGTTCGATGTGATAACTAACCTTTGGTTCTGCCTATGTATGAAAGTAAACTGGTATAGAGTGTCTGAGACAGAAACGAATCGCAAAATGTTCACATTTGTCCAAGTCCATTTCACGAGTTGAAGTGAGGTATCGAATGAGCAGCTCAGAATGTGCAGTTCAGAGTTGACTTTGTCCTTTGGCGCTTATCGTTCAAGGGGTAAGTACTCTTACAAGTTACATGGAAATAGGCGACTTTTGAGGGAACAGTTGGAGACGAATCACCTTTTACGGACTTTACAGCATGAACCTTTCGGGATACCCGTTTCATAGAAAACTTTTCTTGAGGAACTTTTGTTATCTTAGTCTGTCCGGGGGGAGGGCAGGGCTTTTACAAGTCCACAGTTGTATCCCACTGGTGAGAACCCGGAGCACTACACGTATCGAATGCTCCACGTCGCGTTTTGGTAAATCAAATTCCTTAATACATCATCTAACAGCCTCATAATTCCAATATGTAAAAGTGCTAATGGGTTGCTAGTTTCTTCTCTGTGGTCTATGGAAGTGTGTGGATGAACAATGTTACACTAGTTCAAAAGGGATCCGATATGCCGAAATTCCGTAAGAGTAAACGTATTGTGTACACAACTTTTGTGCAGGGTGGAGGGAGAGATATCTCCGCAATTTTATGTTTGATCAGGCATAAAAATAGATCCGCTAAAAATTAACCAAATACCTTTTCAATGTGTACGTTGCGTTCAAAACTAATGTTTTCAGAATACAAAAATATCGTGATGGAAATGTTTGTGATAACCAATAAAGAGCACTGGACAGCTGTTTCGTCCTGTTTCGGACTCGTCAGCAATGCGTGCACTTTTTGTCCCCGATAGGACTCGAACCGCCAACATTCGGGTTGGGACTTCAAAACCTTACCCCTGAGCTACGAGGTCGACGGTCGTCACCTTTTACGAATGGCTCAATCAATTTTTAGAGTAGCAAGCTTGGATTAACCCATTTGATTGTTGAGAGACATCAGCCACTCTTGGATGCTGGATGCCTCTAAACAATCCAATGGGCTAATCCAAGCTTGCTACTCTAACAATTATATCGTTTTTCTTAGATATCCAAGAGGTATAACAAGTGCAAAAATACCTAGAGAGATATAACAGCATGACAAACCAACTACTCGTTACTGGTAAATAATTTTTTTCTTAGGATATTGTCATAATTACCATGTACTTTGAGAGTTCAACAGCATCTTTCTTTTCAACACTGAGATGTTAAACACTCACAGATGGGATTTATAGTGTCCAACAACCATCAAGCGAGTTTCTCTTATGGTCATCTCTGTGTACACAGAATCCGTCTTAGACGTGTACCAGTTTATTCTACTGCATGCGAGCTCATTCGTGGTGTTTCCGTCCCTAGTGGCTTCGGTGGCTTAGCGGCTTCTTTCATTTCGTGTATATTAGTTCCTGGTCAAGATCACTATACCAGATCCTTTGTCCGATTTGAGGAATCTAAAATCAGACGTACGTTTCAGTTCTTGTATTGCCTTGCAATATAGTCAGGAAAAGAATTTATACTAATCATTTGTTTGCCTGGTTGTTAACATCAGCGTTCAGTTTACAATATCCAGCATAGAACAACATAGAATTGAATTAGGACAGCTATTTGGGCCATTTTTCTTATTTATATTATCAGACTGGAATTATATTTAACCGGCTGTTGAACACCATGGTTAATATATTCCACCCTCACACACACTATCAGACCGAATAGCTTTCAACATCTTAATAAAAGTCCACACACCTTCCAATGTCAATGCACCAGTTCTATTTATACATCTCTGTCCATACAGTTTACAGAATCCGGTTCTTCCATTTTTTCGTAGATAAAGTGCTCCTTGATTGAACCACACCACTTCAGCTCTTCGAGATTTACGCCAACGACATCGATGCATCGCTCACTTGAAGCACACCTTTTAGTGATGGTCGATCTTTCGAAAACTCTTCACCGATGTCACACATGCATACCGCAGTTCCCTTAACACGCATCACAGTGTGTGCTCCGAATCAAAAAGGGCACACCTCTCCCAGGTCCAAAGGAGATGCGGTTGCAAGGTGATTCATTAACAGAGATTGAAATACTCTTCGATTTATCCTTCCGAAACGGCAGAAAGCCGACCACTATCAAATAGATCAGGAAACGATACGGATGCCGAATTATCAACATTACCCGTATGTGAGTGGAAGTCCATCGACATGCATCGACAGGTATGGCTCACGACCATGGATGAAGTTCCACTGCGCACTGTTCACGGAAATCACGTGGTCCGATTGTATCCCTATGTGCTTCGGAACGATGGACTGCAACCCTAAGAAACCGTTTTTTCTGAAGAACTAATGTTTCTCATTGCTTGACGATTTGACACATTAGCCCCGGAGTATCAGACAATTGGAAATGATGCAACATAATGGGCTGACCATTTCCAACCCTGCTTCGTACAGCATGGTAGTTTTTATTCAAACAATTAAATGATGAAATCCTGAAAATTGTGGCAACTGATAGAAAGTTTCTTCCTGTCCTATTAAAATCGATCAAACGCTATGCACAGTTCGTATAATATATTTTGATCGATGGTTAACTTTGAAATGAAATTTAAAAAATAAAACACTCACCAGCCACCGTTTCATTGTAATCGGGTTGATGTGGAACTCTTCCACCAGACCCAGTTCCGTGTACATGTGTTCGAGTAGTGCCAACATCTGCAGGAATGTGGTAGGATAGTATTATATTTTATTTCGGCAACGCAGTAAGCATTTACTACAAACGCGAAAGATTCTTCTGAAATGGAAAGGTTTGTGATAACCGACAAAGAGTACTAGACAGTTGTTTCCTCCTGTTTGGGACTCGTCAGCGGTGCGTAAATTTTGTTTCCCCGACAGAACTCGAACCGCGAACGTTCGGGTTGGGACTCTAAAATTTTTCCGAAAGGTTTGTCTTTTATTCCAATTTATTTTTTATCACAGACAATTGAACTCAAAAGAAGTGCAATTGTTTTATTCCGCTCAACCCCACAACGGGTGGTGCGGTTCAATTCCTTCCGTTTTTCCGAGGAGTGAAACAGTTTTCCGACTTTTGTCTCAAGATGCATCAGGTCTAGAATGATTCCCTCTTTGATCTCTCATTGTGACGCAGTAAAGACCAGAGGCAAACCTGTTTACTTTACAACCTACTTGCCCGATCATATTATGCATATCGCGCACACATATGAGATGTGTTTATGTTCAATTTATACACTTCTAAAGAAACACATCTAACTGTAAAATCTGCTATACATTCCGGAAAACTGGCTAGGTGATAGATTCATGTTCATACAAACTGTGTTCTCTGATCGCGGAATTCCATAGACGAGGTGCAGTGAGAGGACCACAGCCACTACAGTGTGAGTGGCTACAATACTAAATATTCCTCAT